TCATCAATTGAAGAATGAATGGTGTTATATGCATAAAGTGGAATACAGCCCTGCAAGGAGAAGGAGGAAGCACAGCTCCCCACAACATGGGCGAATATTACAAAATATAATGTATAAGAAAAAAAAACATGTCGTAAAAGAATACATAGAATGTGATTACATTTACATAAATTTACAAACCTAGCTGCATACTGTTTAGGATTTGGAATAAAAGTATAAAGAAAGGCAAAGGGATAAATATAAAATTCAAGACTGTGTTTAGATATTGGGAAGAAGAAGGAAATGAGACTGAGGAGAGACACAAGGAACTCTAACTGTATTTGTTCTGTTCTATTTCTGAAGCTGAATTAATTTTATTGTTCTAAAAACTGTAGGTATAGTTTCTCTTTTGTATGTCATATGGAATCATAGTTTTTTTTTAAATAATAAAGTTATGGAAGACATCAGGAATCCTATGAGCTCAGATACCTCCAGAATAAATACATGGGCCACCCCACCCACCAGTTAAGAATCCTAAATAGATGTACTACTTAAAGGTAAAAAGGAAAGATGAAAACATAGTAGAAAAGAAAGTCATGAGTACCATCTCCAGTCTCATGATTCTTAATTCCTTTCTTGTAGTGTCATGTAAATACCCTTTTTTCCTTCTCCCTATACCCCACTGACTTATATAGGTAATAATAGTTACATTTACAATTTAGCATACAGGTTGCAAAATATTGAGATGAACCAGAAGAACTAGGAAACAAACATCTATCAGAGATCCTGACTTGGAACAGGATGCAGTAACTAAGGAGAATGTGAGTAACCTCCTTTAGAAGAAGAGGACAGGTAGTTTTCAGAGGTCTGAGAAACATCAGCATTGATTTGGCAGAAAGAAAATATATGCTAATGTTGGACCATCAAGGAAGGAGAGTACATATTTGTCATATGTTGGCTTTCTAGCATCTGTACGCATTTTCTACTTGAATAGAGTTCCCACCACAAGAAACTTGGAGGGAAACAGATCCCACCATCACCCACAGAAGGTAAAAAGGTTGACGATTACCTTATTAGCCCTAAGGCAGTTAAGCCTTCAAAACATGATTGTTGGTTGGCCCAATCGTCCAACTCAGAGCTTTTATGCCAGTACTAGTAATGCAACAAAGCAGAGAAGGTAAAAGTTGTGCCCTTGATAGCAACGAAGTCCAATTTTTACAGGTACTGTCTACAGCACCCACTGTGAAAAGTTGGGGCTGTGATCTAAGAAACTGAATGTTTCCATTGTTTGATGTTGGTGGCAGTACTGTCCTTAACAACAAAATGTGTTTGGGGTTCTGGCTCATTCGTTGAGCTGAGTTCTCCTCCTTCATCAGAGGTTATAAAGGATATCTAACATATTTTCAAAAATCTCTTTTCTGCTAAAATAAGACACAGACATTTTCTTTTGATTACTGAAAATATACTGGCTAATTCACATGTATATTTTTAAATCTCTCTATATCTTGTCTTTGTAAAATTATGTAAATCCTCGATATTTAAAGAAAAACTCCAAGATTCAGTCACACATGGAAGTTTATTGCATGCTATTTATTTACTAGTATATTTCCTCATTTATATAATAATAATCTCAACCATTTATCAAAGTACTACTCTATGGTCACTCCAGTCAGAAGGAGTACTAAGTATCACCTAGCATCATAGAGGGTTTTGTAGTTGAACAAGCACTTACATGTACATTTTATTCTTTGACCAAAGGCTGTAAAAGCTAACAATATGGTGTTTTATTCCACTTACAGCTACTCAAGTCACATGACTCTTATGAGCATCAGCAGCAGCGTAGCATAATTTCCATTTACTGAGTTCTAACTATATGTCGGGCATAAGGCTAGGGGCTTAGTACATGTCTCAGTATTTCTAATCTTCACAACAATTATTTAAAGAAAATATTATTATTTCCATATTTGAGATGAAGAAAGTGAGACTCATAGAGATCAAGTGACTTATTCCTTGAGATCTTGGTGAAAAAATTCAGTTTGTCTCCAACACATGATGCCTTTCCTATTCCCTTCCTCCAATTCTGCAAGTTGCTTTGCTTGTCTGGTAACTTGCTATATGTTACTCAAAACCTCTGGTCAGAATAACTAAAGAAACCAAATGGTCCTCTGAGAGTAAACATGATAAAAATAAACAAAAAATCATTCATGATTCTTGGCTCAATATCTCTTTCTCTAATCTCTTCACACTCTATAGTAAATTTCCATGTAAAAATATTTTTGGTTTCCTGTGGGAGCCCTTTTATAAGCAGACATGCCAAAGCCATTAGAGGTGCTGTATTGGAAACATTCAGCATAAATATCCCATCCTACAGGGAATAGTAGCAAAGGTAAAAACAATGTAGTAAATTGAGAATAATACAACTAAAAAATTCTCTAGGCAAGATTTTGTGATTAATGATGACTTGTTAATAAAGGAAATTAGAAAACTGTGACCCTTTTTGGGGTTCAGTATATATATATATATATTCTCCTTCCTATCATCATTAAATTGAAGTATAATAAATAAGTCCCTTCACCTCCACATGCCCATTCAAGAACAAGAAAATACTCAATGATCAACTTTATTTAATTCTTTAAACATTAACACACATATGTTAACACACAGTCTGTCTGGACTATGAGCTCTGCAGGACCACGTCTTAAGTCACCAACTTCCTCCTCCATAAAATGGGAATAATAACCATCCCTACTTCATAAGGTTGCTGTGAGGATTAAATTAGATAATCTTTGTGAAGTGTCTAAAACCCTACCAAGCACACAGTACAGAAACACACACACTTACAATGAGTTCTGGTTTTGTACATCTTCCAACATTTGGATTGGCTTGATGTTCAAACAGTTAACACTTCAAAGCATCGGACAGATCCTCTTGACATCAAATTTGATACACAAGACTCCACTAACTTGATATGACTGTCACTGTTATCAAAAAACAACTTTCCCCCTGTCTCATCTATCTAGTGTCTCAGGCCAGAAATCCAAGAATCACCCAACTGCTCACTCATCACTCACATCCAGCCAAGCACTAAGTCCTGTCTCTCAAATCTGATCCTTCTACCACCTCCACAGCCTCTCCCATCAGGAGTACCACATTAACCTCCATTAATGGTCTCTTAGCCTCCAACCTTGCTGTGGCAGCAAGAGTGATCACATCAATCCATTGCTGAAAGTTCTTAAATAATTTTCAATTGGTTTTCAGAAAAAGGCAAAACTCTTTTTTAAAACCCTTTATGGCTTGGTCCCTTTCTATTTTCCAAGTCTCATCTCTTGCATATCTCTACCACACTCTTCCATCCCAACACCTTCCCATGCTCAGCCAAACAGAACTCAGTGTACATTTTTTTTTAATGTGCCATCTGCTCGCTCATCTGCAGACATTCACACATGCTGTTCCCTTTGCCTGAGACACAATCCCCGCCCTCCCACCCCGTCGTCCCGTTGCCCTGGCTGGCATCTACTCATCCCCTCTAAGTCTTAACTTAAACATTATTTCTTCCAGGAAGCTTGTGAGGACTCCCCTGATTTGTGGTAGTGCCCCCTAGCACCCCGTGCCTCTGTACTCTCTGATACAGCACGCTTCTTCAACAGACAGCAAGCTTCATTAAGGCTGTGACTTTGTCGGACTTCCTCACCACTATAAATTCAATTAGCATGATGCCTGGAATATAAATAAGTACTTAAAATATTTTTTAATGAAAGAATGTGTGATATTATTTTTTTACTACCAAAAGGAACTGTAAATATGTGATTAGTGTCATTCCCTTGAGCTTCAAACACATGCAAGGAAGCCTAAAATAATAGCAGTGGCATAAAGCAATCCATCGCCAGATTCCCCTTCCCAAGATACTGCAGAGTCATCTTCTATAATCCATTAGAATCACTGGAAGGCAGCCATTATGATTTTATAATTCAGACTTATCAGATGGTGTCTGGGGCACATAGCTAAACTAACATTGCTGCAGATTAAAATGCAGAAGTCTAACCAAGATTGTCTTTCTATGAATGAATATATTTTAATAAGCATCGGACAGATCCTCTTGACATCAAATTTGATGCACAGGACTCCACTAACTTGATCTATAATAATAAAAGCATAATATGCTAATTAGACCAGACAGCTGAATGACCTTCCGGACGAAGCTGGGGCTGCGAGGGCTGAGCCCCTTGCACGAATTTTATGCATTGGGCCTCTAGTATTATACTAAATAACAAAGGGAACTCAATCCCTAAAAAGATTGAGAATTACAATTTGAATACAGATAAGTACTATAAGCAATGAATTAGGGAAGTGGGAAAGGGGATGAGTTTAGAAATAAATACGAGTCATTAAGTAAAACTGCTGAAAATTCCCAGCAACAAATTCCATTGCCTACATTTCATTACATATGCACATGGTTGTGTTTAGATTGACAAATAGGTGAGAACAGCCAGACAAAGTTAATCAATATCATTGATTAAATATTTGAAACAAAGAATAACACAAGAGACTAGCAATCTGATTAGGAGAAATGCCAGCTGGGAGAAAGGTAATTTAATCCAATTTTCATATACCACCTGACTAAATTAAATATCAGCCAATTGAGCATTCATGAGAAACAAGCTATACATTTGCAAAAACCATACTAAAATAATGTCTTTGCTATAGTAAAATACATATGTGTAATTTTAAAACTGATATTTCAGATTATTTTTTAAATCTAGTTTTTGAAAACCAGCTGTGGAAAACCCCATACTAGCTAATGGAAAACTGGTAGTACTGGAATATGTGTTATCTGCTCACTTCTAGGAAAACAGGCTGTGAATGAGGAGTTTTATCAATTAGCATAAAATTTACAACATGCAACTTGGGTGATATTAGATGACTTGTTTTATAACAATTTCTATACATTAAGTTATATCATTTGAAATAGCAAAGATGGCCATGGAGGTCCATAAATCTTTGAAACTCAAAAAAATACTTACTGCCAGGAGGTGAGAAAGCACAGATACACACACAAAGCAGCATAGCCTGCCTTTAGAAATTTCCTAGAGAGAAATGTTCCAGTTAAACATTAGACATTGCAAATATAACAAGTCAATTTAGTTTTCTCTTTCCCACAATCCCCTTACCACTCAGTTTTGCCCCCAGCTAACAGATGGGCTGAAATCAACCTTATTTCAACAAACCAAACATCCAAACTATGTAATCATGGGTGACATCTGAGCTGGATCTGGCTGGCTGCTTAAAAGGGAGTCTTTCACAATGACAAATGGGAATTTTCATTGTTGACCAAGCTAAACACTGAGGCGCACCACCTTCATCCTTCATGATGAAATCAACCAAAGGCAAATAAATAGCCCTGGCTTTAACAAATGCCTCCATCCAGCCATTCTGAAGGACACTGAAATATGTATTATTTTGTACACAAAGATAAGACTATCCAATATGTTTTTCCAGTATGGTGATCGGTGAGAGCTAAACTACACATACACTCTTGTGCATGCCTCAATACCACCCCTGAAAGGACAACGTTCTGTAGACCAGGGGTCCTCAAACTACGGCCCGCGGGCCACATGCAAATACAAATATTGTATTTGTTCCCGTTTTGTTTTTTTTACTTCAAAATAAGATATGTGCAGTGTGCATAGGAATTTGTTCATAGTTTTTTTTTTAAACTATAGTCCGGCCCTCCAATGGTCTGAGGGACAGTGAACTGGCCCCCTGTTTAAAAAGTTTGAGGATGCCCTGACCCGTTTGGTTCAGTAGATAGAGCGTCGGCCTGCGGACTAAAAGGTCCCAGGTTTGATTCTGGTCAAGGGCATGTACCTTGGTTGCGGGCACGTCCCCAGTGGGGGGTGTGCAGGAGGCCGCTGGTCGATGTTTCTCTCTCATCGATGTTTCTAACTCTTTATCCCTCTCCCTTCCTCTCTGAAAAATTGATAAAATATATTTAAAAAATAAATAAATAAAAATAAAAAATAAATAAAAAGTTTGAGGACCCCTGCTGTAGACTGTTGGGGGCTAGTCTGGGGCCAGGGACTGAGTCCTGTGAGGTCTAAGCCCAGTCCTTGGTTTCATTAGCACAGCGTTCTCACAATGCTACTCCACCAGAAAAAAAGCCCAAGGATTTAATGCTGCTCTGTGCTACTCTGGATCTGCGAAACACAACAGACAGAGAGAGAATTTATTCTAAATTAGAGAGAAATAAAATTTAAATTGCCTAAACTGGTCAGTTCCTATATTCTAGTGAAAATTCAATGTATTACCACAGATGAATCTAGGTACTTTTTTTTCGTTGTTTTTTTTAAAATATATTTTATTGATTTTTTTACAGAGAGAAGGGAGAGGGATAGAGGGCTAGAAACATCGATGAGAAAGAAACATTGATCAGCTGCCTCCTGCACACTCCCAACTGGGGATGTGCCTGCAACCAAGGTACATGCTCTTGACTGGAATCGAACCTGGGACCCTTCAGTCCACAGGCCAATGCTCTATCCACTGAGCCAAACCAGTTAGGGCTAGGTACTTGTTTCTTACTACTGATTCCTCTGAGTTTCACTTTTCTTATCCTATAATATATCCCTTTCTTGGATTTTCCCTTTCCGGATGTACCACATGTGGAAAAAAATTAAAACATCCCTTTGGATGGTTGCTACATCTGTGGAGGATGCTAAGTGACCTTCAGTTCTAAATACAGAATCCAGACTCCAGACCAGGAATATTCTCCAAACCCTTTATTCTCATGGTGTTGCTTCAATCAATCAAAACACACACACACACACACACACACACACACACACACACACACACATACACACACACACACACACACACAAAACATTCTGGCTAGAAGTACCAGCAAATCACAGCACTACGTGCTTATTTTTGACATTGAAACTTGAGGAATCAACATGGAAGGGACCAACATGGACTGCTGCCGTTCACTCCTCCAGTTTTCTCCCACACACTGCTTCCTCCACGGAAGAGGGTTAACAACCTGGGTGGTGGTCCTTCTGGGCTCCCCAGGAAGGTTCTGGCAGCAAATCTAACTCACAAAAACTTATATTAGAAGGTATTTTGTAAGTTCAATTGATCTCCATTGATCTCCATCATCTTGGTATACAACTGAATTATGCAAGACGGAAAAATATATTTATAATTTATAATAGAAAGAAGATGTAACTCTTTTAATGAGTGTCTAGTAGTCCACCAGATTTTTTTAAAGAGGGGAGTTTCCTTTCAATCTGATCTAAACTCTTCAATCAACAGCACAGCTTAATTTTGTTTCTCCCTTTTTGGCACCAGCAGTGATGGAGAAGCGCTAATCACCATATCCTTCATAAACACTGAAACCAATTATTAATTAGGTCCAAATAAATCATTTTCTTCCCTTGGGTTAACAATCTCTAGTATTGTTTTTCAATCACTTTATTCTTTTTCTTGTAGCTTTTCTATTTTTTTTAATCCTCAGCTAAGGATATGTTTTTATTGATTTTACAATTTTATTGATTGAACCCCCAACCTAGGTATGTGCTCTGACTGGAAATCAAACCTGTAACGTTTTGGTGTATGGGACAATGCTCCAACCAACTGAACCACCTGGCCAGAACGTATAGTTTTTCTTAAAACTTTTTTCAGAGTCCTTCTACAACAATTACCTTGTTAGAATGTCTGATTCACACGTGGTCAGTGTCTTTTTACATTTTTTATGGCTGGAATCTAGCCCACTGCCTGGCATTCTGCAGGCTCTTAATAAATACTCTTGATAAAATGTGAAATCATAGATAAGTAATGCTCAGTAAATGGTAGACCATACTTTGTCTTCCTTGGCTATACTTTGCTATGTATGTAGGCATGTTTTCCTGTTATTCTGACCCTGTCAAAATAATCATACTCCCATGATGAAGAATCCCTTGACTTCACCAGAAAGCTCCATCAGCTCCCTCTAAGCTCCTTCAAACAATGACCCTAAAATGCAAACTGAAGAGGTGATTTTCTAGTAAGTAGGTGCACAAGTACCCACCAATCAGAAGCCTGGTGAGGCTTGGCAGAACTTCAAATCATACTACACAGTCCTAACATTCCACCTTCGATGTTTCTGAATTTCATGCAGAATAGGAACAAGAAGTTCTCTGTTCGGTAGGGGTTGCTACCGGAGTTGCCAAAGGGACCTTATATTAGTGGGGACTTAACTGAAATTTCTTACTCAGTATAGTTTGAAACTTCAATTAAGTGGCATTTTTAAGCATACACATTTAGCTGGCAATTTATTTTATTAGATACTTTCTATTTTTTTTCTTAAAAGGTTGATAATTATTCATTAAATGCTTAATAAAGTTATGTCTATTTAGAACAGCTTATTACTATAAAAAATTATAATGCTCTAATTTGCATGCCTTCCAATTTCACAGACATTCAATTTCCTAAAATCATGTCTACTTGCCAAATAGAGAGGAGGCAAGATATTTGGAACAACTTCCATGATGCATGTTAATGGACAAACTAAAATCACCAAACTTTTAGTTTTTTATCAGTGCTAATTAGTGTTATCAATGGATACTTTTCATTAGATCAGTGTTTTCCAGGTTGATATAAGCACCTCTTTCTCACTCTTATTCAAACATTACACACACACACACACACACACACACACACACGCACGCACACACAGAGTTCAGTACCGAGAAAAAGGTAAAACAAAAAAGCGTGAAAGAAACTGCAGTATAGCCAGTTGTCTTTAACAGAAAACCTGTCTTCACTGAGCCTTGGCAAGGTCAGATTCACCTCGGAATCGCCATGACCATTGATATGAACTGGCTCCTTAAAGAAATGATTCTTACTTACCTGTTACATTAGAGGTGGGGGAAAGGTGTAAAATAAACAAGTGGAGAGGGGCTTCAATTATTATTGAAAGAACTCACAAAAGTGGGTTTTATTTCTTTGATTTTTCAATAAATTAGCAAACCTGACTAACATAATCTGGAAATCTTTTCCCAAGTTAAAGAAGAAAATACTTATGAGTTTAACTATTTAGTAGTTCCCCCTTTGAACCCAGAATTCCCAGGCTAAAGATTAGTGAGTTAAACCACACAGCCCCATACCTTTCTGCAATAAAGTTAATAATTAACACCCAATTTAATGTCTAGAATCCCATTCCCAACCAAAAGCCTTTAAGTAGCATATCTGATAGTATGTTTCATTAGAGATTATGCCTAATGATTAAACTGAAATGTGGAGTTTTAATAACGATATTCAAAACCTTACAGACATTCACTGGAGTAACCAAACAGAAGTAAACCCATGCTGACAAGGCAAAGTTTTGAGGTTTCAAAAAACTCGCCCTCTCTTTCCTCTTCTCCGAGGTATTCCTGCAGTGTTCAACCCACTAAGAAGAAACAATGTTCTCCATAAATGAAAATCTAAAGTGAGGGGGGAGTATTCAAAAGTACTCAATTGAAGGCTTCTCCAACAAGGAGGCCTCCCCCTCTTTGAGAAGGCCTTCATTGGGGTCTTACTTCAGATTTCATTGTGCAGGTTCCTCTTCAAGGCAGCACTTCTCAAAACTATATACAGCACACTTAACTGTGGATGGGTCACTTAGAATAAGGTGAGCATGACCTTCTGTTCTCTCTTCTTGCCTGGCATTGTGTCTATGACTGGCATATCCTATATAATAAAGATGTAATATACAAACTGACCCACACTCCATCACAAGATGGCTGTGCCCACAGCAGAGGCAGGGTTCCCATAACACAAGGTGGCTGTGCCCACAGCAGAGGTGGGGTTCACGTAAGGTGCCATAACGAGTGATCAGCAGGGGGAGGGGGCCCCCCCCCCCCCCGCCCGGCAGGGCTTGACGGGGGACCTCAGGCTGTGTCCCCCAACCCCAGCACCAGGCCGGGCGACCTGAGGCTGTGCCCCCTGCCCAGCAGGGCTTGACGAGGGTGGGGATGGCCTGGTCTGAATCTCACCCAATGGGGGTGGGGCCGGCCAGGTCTGGGTCTCATGCGATTTTGAGGCACACACGGGTGGGTGGGGACTTGAC